ATATATTCCTAGAAGTGGGATCACAGGGTTAAATGGGAGTTCCATTTTTAGTTTTTTGAGGAAACTCCATACTGTCTTCCATAGTGGCTGCACCAGTCTGCATTCCCACCAGCAGTGCACGAGTGTTCCTTTTTCTCCACATCCTCTCCAGCACTTGTTGTTTGTTGATTTGTTGATGATAGCCATTCTGACAGGTGTAAGATGGTACCTCATTGTTGTTTCAAGCTGTCTTCTGTAGAGTGCTGACCCCTGGGGAGGGAGACTGCAGCCGCCCTGACCCCCAGCCCTGCAAACTCTGCAGAGCACCACTGTATGCACGGCCCCCACTCCACTGCCGCAGGCTTCACACCCAGGCCTGAGGCCGCAGTCACGCTCACCCACACTCCCGTTTAAACACTGGGGTCTCTAAACTGCAGGCTCAAATCCTGCTCAAGTGCCCGCTCCCACCTCGGGGCTTTCCTGCCTCCCCAGCTGGAACTCCCAGCCCGCGCTCAGTGACTGCTGAACTCCATCACCTCTCTTAGCTCCGTTCCCACCCGACGCTGCTTATTTAGGCCCAAGTCTCATCTGGCCTGCTGGGCAGGACTGCAAGAAGGGGCCTAGAACCAGCCGGAACACCCAGCCCCAAGTGCCCATAGCCAGCCCCTATGTAATGCACCTGTTGGGAACAAAGGCGTCCAACATGGGCTCCAAAGGCGAGCCCACTGGACGGTCCCACTCAAGGCTGGGTGCAGGCTGGCCAGGCCAACACGTCAGGTTCCTAGCCCCTGAGTACCACCGCATCCCAACACCCGCGTCGGCCAAGCCACTTCCTCCGGGGCCCCAGAAGTCCCCAGTGAGGACCCAGGACCCAGAGCTCCGGCCCCGCTCACCTGCGGCCCAGGAGGGGATGGGCTTCCGGGGATGGGACTCATCATCAGTGGAGTCATCGCTGTTCAGATCCATCCCGTAGTTATCCAGGCTGATCTTGCGGGGAGCCCTGGGCCCCTGCGGCGTCATTTGATATGAGGAACAGGCTGGAGACTGGAAAAATAAACAAGGGCGTCAGCTCCCCCGTCCCTGCTCCTGCAACTCCCACCACCCAGGAGATGGGGCCCAGCCACCTCCCCTCCTTTCACAGGAAAAATCAAAAGGCTCAGGGTCACTTTAAAAGTCACACCACACACACAGCCCTGACTCTTTTTCACACTAAAGTAAGTTGCAACTGTACTTCCACGTCAGCATGTCTCCTGTGAACAGCTCCCGGGACTCCATTGGGAGCCTCATGAGTTGAAACATCCATCTAGGGCAGTGGTTCTCAACCTTCTGGCCCTCATGTTGTGACCCAACCATAAAATTATTTTCGTTGCTACTTCCTAACTGTAATGTTGTTACTGTTATGAATCGTCAAGTAAATATCTGATATGCCGGATGGTCTTAGGCGACCCCTGTGAAAGGGTCGTTCGTCCGCCAGAGGGGTCGCGACCCACAGGTTGAGAACCGCTGATCTAGGGTGACTGTTCAGCTAACTTCCCACTTTCCAACCTTCACCTATGCTGCACTGAAAACCCTCATAATATGTTTTGTTTGTAAAGCATTAAACTGGAAGTCACCTAAATGCTTGTCAACAGGCGCTGGTTAGAGAAATTCTGCTACAACTAGCTGGCACACAACAGTCAAAAATGAGAGCTTTACAAGGGCTGAAGTAGATGTGTACAATATAAAAACAGCAACAGGGGAGGGAAAAAGTATCAAGCTGCCAAATGGTATGTATGAGAGTAAATGCTTGTGTCCCCCCCCAAATTCCTGTTAAATCCTCTTTCTCCACATGATGGTATTGGGAGTTGGGGCCTCGGGAGGTGCTTAGGTCACGAGGGTGGAGCCCTCAGGAATTCCATCAGTGCCCTTCACAGAGGCTCCGGAGAGTTCCGCCTCCCCTTCCCGGGCAAGACGACGGCCCCTAATAGACACCGAATCCCAGTCTGACATAAATGTTTGCTTAAGCCACCTGGTCTATGGTACTTTGTTAAAGCAGCTGAGCAGACTGGTAGCCTGTATGTAGAGCCTGTGTCCCCTTAGAGCATGTAACAATATAGAGAGATGTACACTGAACTCAGAGTTTACTCTTTTATAAAGTTTAGTTTGTTTGTTTTTAAAACAAATTCTATTTTGAGAATAGGAGAGAACACACGTATCCAGAAGAGTAGAAACTCCCGGGCCGCCTGCGTCCTTCCTCCTCCTCATGGTCCTCAGATGTGAACTGGCCTCCAGCTTTGGGAGGAGAATAAGCAGAGCTGGGGGCTCCTCTCTGCTCCGGTGCTCGGCCTCACCTGCACGTCCATGGTTGTGTTCGGGCCTTTGCTGGCCGCTGCAGCCTCCTTGGCTTTCTTCTCCTGCTCCTCCTGGAGGCGCTGCTGCTTTTCCTGGGACCAGTGGCCAGCCAGGGGTTACGGGCCATGGGAATGTGCTCTCCCCAAGCCCCAGGCAAAACCCGCATGGCCAAGAAAGCAGCTCCCGCCCCAGGAGCCACCAGATCAGGGCTCCCAGCCCAAAGCGCAGCAGAGACCCGAGCGAGCCCCACACCCACCACCCACCCCCCGCTCCCCTGTACCTTTTCCTTCTCCTCCAGTTCCCTCTGCAGCCTCTCCTTTTGCAGCCGCAGGGCCTTCTCCCTCTCCTGCAGCTCCCTGAGGACCAAGCAAGGGCCTGTCATGTTGGGAAGCTGAGCCCTGGCTCAGTTCCTATCCCTTCCAGGGAAGCTGGGCTCATGGCACTGGCAGTATAAGACAGAATGGCAGAATGGGCACAGCAGCCAGGAGCCCACAGCTGCACCTGTGCCCCAGGGCTGGAAAGCGCCCAGCTGGGTGCAGGAGCTCTCAGCTTTGGACCCACCAAACCTGGCCCCACGCTTCCACTTGACTTAGGGCTGAGCTTCCGCCTCTGCTGTACAATGGAGATCCTCACACCTTTCCTCCCGTCACCACGAGAATCAGATGAGAAAACCTGAGTGACCTCGATCGTCCCGGCCCACAGGGTGGAGCGTGGGCTCCAAGCCTGGCGGGAAGCAGAGCTGGGCTGTTTTTGGGTGTTGGAGCCACCTCCACTTACTAGTTTGTGGCTTAAGGCATTTAACCTCCTGCCCCTGCACCCCCTCTGGGAGGTGGAGCTGCTGGTTCCTATGCCACAGGGCCTTCGAGTGAGGATTCGACAAGAAACATGTATAGAGCGTGTAGCTCAGTAACCCCTAAGCTGCCAACCATTACAACCATCGCACCGTCACCCCCATGGAAGACTCTGGCACTGCGCGGCACACATACAATTCTAAAACCACATCAACTGCCACCCACCGCCCTTGGTCCCCCACCCAGACTCCTGTCTCTGGTTCTGCCGTAGGACCAGGACACTTTTGTGTCAATCAGGAAGCACAGGGAGCCCTGACCGGGTACCTCAAATGGTTAGAGCATCGTCCCGATACACCAAGGTCGCGGGTTTGATCCCAGGTCAGGGCACATACCAGAACCAGCCCATGAATGCATAAATAATTGGAACAACAAATCAATGTTTCTCTATATAAAATCAATAAATTTTTTTAAAAAAAGCACAGGGAGATGGTCCCCCATGCAGTTCAGCCCCATGGCTTCCACCCCCCACTCCCCACTGGGCCCAAAGCCACCTGAAGACCGGCAGGGACGTGTTGCCTGCTGTTTCTCAGGTGGTGGAGGCAGGAGAGGCAGTTGGGTATTCTAGGCCTGTTTGGGTATTCCCACCTCTCTGTACACACACACGGGCACAGTGCTCTTCGTCACAGGCGCAGATCCCACCTCTCCTGGCCAACTGTGACTGTGGCTTGTCCTCTTTGGCATCCCAAGATCCGGCACAGCCGAGCACAGGGCGGGCCCAGAATAAGGCTCACAGAACCCGCTGCAGAGACCTCTGCCTCTGAGAGCAGAGACCCAGGCTCTGCTGCCATGGATACCAAGGGAGGCAGCTGGAAGTGATGGGGGCGGGAAGTCTGGGTTCTCATGACCAGAGGAGGCATGTTTAGTGGGGAGGGTCTGCAACGCAGCCAACGAACTCCTGCTCAAATGCCCATGGGGGGCCTGCTGAGCACCCCGCTGCCCTGCCATGTCCGCTGAGGACAAAATGGAACAGGGCGGGGGGGCAGCACACTGGCTGGAGGTAGCACTAAGAGTCCCAAGTGAACCCGCCCATTCCGTCTTCCATCTCCCAGAGCCAACGCCACATTCAGGGTCTGCCTGCTGCAGGCCTCTGGGTGCTGAGCCAAGCGAAGCCCAAGGGAAGGGGGAACTGCTCTAAAGGACTGCTCCGCCTCTCGTCCACACAAGCACACGTGGCCGGACATCGCCTTGGCCCCCAGGGGCTGGCCCACCAGCCTGGCCCTCGGGGCTCCCTCACCTCTCGGCCTGGATCCGTTCCTGCTCCCTCCGCTGCTCCTGTTCCTGCTGCTCGGCCGGCCTCCTGGCCTCAGCCGCCTTCAGCAGACGCTCTTGCTCATCCTCTTCCTCCTCCTTCCTTTTCTGCTCTTCCTCCTCCTGTGAACACAGAGCAAAGTCAGGGCCTCAGGCCAGGCTGGAGAGGTGCCAGAGGTCTGGGAAGAAGGGAGGGTTGACAGGAGGCATCAGAGATCGTCAGGGGCTGAGCCAGGGTCGCCCCACGCCAGGAGCCACACATCACCACCAGCCTGAAAAGGCATCTGGCCGCAGCTTCATTTGCTGCTGCAGCAGACGTAAGGGCCCAGACTGGAGCCAGATGCACTTGCTGTGACACTGAGCTATCATTTAAGCCCTTGGTTCCCTCATCGAGCAAATGGGGACCAAAACAGTAATACCTACACCTCACAGAGTTGCCGAGTTTATACACATAACTAGAACAGCGCCTGGCATGGGGTACTCAGCAAAGTCAGCTATCAGTGTCATAACCCCAAAGACAGATCTGTGTTCCCTAGGGTCATGAGATGGGCAGCTCCAAGGAAGAGGTAGGTCCCTACTCTTCTAGGCAGAACATCTCACCCTCACAACGGCCCTCTCCGGTAGCTACCACTGCTACCTGAAGGAACCAAAGCACAGAGAGGTCAAGTAACCCGTGTGGGGACACACAGCTGATAAAAGAGCGAGCGCTGAGAGTGGAAGTCTGGCTTCGAGTCCACGTGCCTGACCCTCAAAGTGCCATCTCTACAGAAACACAAAGGCAGGCCGCTGCCACCGCCCCCATCTCCAAGGCATTTGTGGAACCTCCTCAGGGCCGGACGCCACAAGACCCCCCCAGAATTAAGCCAACAAAGTGGGGGAGGCCCAGCAGTCCTCAGGGGCTGAGGCAGCGCCCATCCTGCCCGGCCTCCTCCTCGATGCCCAGCCCGCCACCTGCATTCGCACCTGTTGCAGACACCTGGGCCTCCGGGCCTCCTCCTCCTGCTTCCTGCGCACCTCCGTCTTCTGGGCTGCAGCCACTTTCCTGGCCTTCTCCTCAGCCAATCGCGCCTCCTTGGCCTGCAGAGCCCACCCCTACATGCCCATTAGAGCAGCCTCCTCACTCACACTCAGCCCTACAGCCGGGTCCCAGGACTGTGACAGGCACCTATGCCCCTGCAAACCCGCTTGTTCCTCACAGCCCAGGGCAGGGGCACCTGGGTGCCTGTCCTGCCGGGAGCATGAGCCCACCCACTCGCTGAGGGCTGCTGCTTAGACCTCCCACCCTCAGCTGGGCTCAGAACGAACTCCAGGGCCCTGGGTGGAGACGAGAGGGGTCCAGGGCGTCAAACCCCTAACTTCCTGAGGGGTCCAGGGTGTCAAACCCCTAACTTCCTGAGGGGTCCAGTTCTAGTCCCCGGACTACCAAGTTTGACCTGCTTGGGCCCCAGCGGGGAACAGCCCACTGACACCTGGACGCCCGCCTGCCCGTGGCTCTCACCTTCTCGTTCTTCTCCTGCGGAGCGATCGTCAAACCCCTAACTTCCTGAGGGGTCCAGGTCGTCAAACCCCTAACTTCCTGAGGGGTCCAGGGCGTCAAACCCCTAACTTCCTGAGGGGTCCAGGTCTAGTCCTCAGGCCACCAAGTTTGACCTGCTTGGGCCCCAGCAGAGAACAGCGCACTGACACCTGGACGCCCGCCCGCCCATGGCTCTCACCTTCTCGTTCTTCTCCTGCAGAGCGACCCTCTGCTCAATCTGCTTTATCTTCTCCTCCCTCATTTGCTCGGCCCGCTCCCGGGCCTGCAGCACCTTGCGCAGGCGCTGCTCCCGCTTCCTGTGCGCACAGGGCAGTCAGGGGGCCAGCGCGCCTGGCTGCACAGGGGCCGGGAGCAGCGCCACTTACAGCTTCAGCTCCTCCAGCCGCCGCCGCTTGTCCTCCTCCACCTTCAGCCTGCGGAGCTGCTCTGCCTCCTCCTTCCACCGCAGGTTCTCCAGGCGCTGCTGCTCCTTCTCCTGGGTGGGAGGGCGTGTGAGCAAGGCCAGCCCAGTGCTGGGCCAGGGGCAGAGCTGGCCCAGGACAACCGTCCAGGCCCACAGCCTCCAGCCAGATGGGCAGCAGCATCAGACTGCTTCTGAGGGCAGAGGGGCCCCCAAACACCCTCCGCTGCCACCCAGACTGAGTTCTGGCCTTCTGTCTTGCTTCCCAGGGACCCTAAGGCAGCGGCTCTCAACCTGTGGGTCGCGACCCCTTTGGCGGTCGAATGACCCTTTCACAGGGGTTGCCTAAGACCAGTGATGGCGAACCTTTTGAGCTCGGCGTGTCAGCATTTTGAAAAACCCTAACTTAACTCTGGTGCCGTGTCACATATAGAAATTTTTTGATATTTGCAACCATAGTAAAACAAAGATTTATATTTTTGATATTTATTTTATATATTTAAATGCCATTTAACAAAGAAAAATCAACCAAAAAAATGAGTTCGCGTGTCACCTCTGACACGCGTGTCATAGGTTCGCCATCACTGGCCTAAGACCATCCTGCATATCAGATATTTACATTACGATTCATAACAGCAGCAACATTACAGTTATGAAGTAGCAACGAAAATAATTTTATGGTTGGGTCACAACATGAGGAACTGTATTTAAAGGGCCAGAAGATTGAGAACCACTGCCCTAAGGCCTCCCAAGGGCCTGCGTCACCCGTGCCTTCGACTTAGCCCTGCCCAATTGAGGGCACCACAAAAAACAGGTTCAAAATTGGATGTATGCTCTGAGGATAACTATGTTCAAGTGCATTTAAAAGGAGAATGAAGAACGAGATTGGGAATTTATTCGGTGCTTTGTAACTTTTTTACGCTGTGTGTGTGCTTTAACAAGCAATCACAAACATTCCTAAGACAACTGGGAACACAGAAAATCTCAGCAAGTAGATCCAAAGAAGAACAAAATGGAAATTTCAGAACTAATAATTAATAACTGAAATAAATTCCGTGGATGGGTCTAAGAACAGATGGAGAAGACAGACGTCAGTCAAACATGAAGATAAATTAGTGACATGTATCCAATCTGAACACAGAGAAAACATATGGAAGAGAAATTAATAGAGCCTTAGGCAACTGTGAGATGACAACCAAGAGTCTGTCACTTGTGCCATCATTCCACAATGGGGAGAGTTCAATGCAGGGGGAAAATGCGGAAAAATAACGGCTTGGAAACACTCCAATTTGGGTAAAGGCTATAGATTCACAGATTCATCAAAACCCACGTAGCAGGATACATCTAAGGAAACCCATGTCTAGCCACATCACAACCACACAGCTGCCAACTTGCTACGAAGGGGAAAATTCTCAAAAGCAGCCACAAAAGGGGGTGAGGGTGGGACAATGATTTGAACGACTGAAAACTTCTCCTCAGAAACAATGGGTGCGGAACTGTATTTGCACAACGTTGGAAAGTGCTGGAAGGAAAGAACTGTTAACCGAGAACTCCATCTGCATTCAATGACATTATCCTTTAGAAGTGAAGTGAGACCAGTGGCAATGTCCTCCAGAAGTGAAGTGAGACCTTCTCAAATAAAGAAAAAGTAGAGCTTTTTACGAAGATGGCGCCGAAAGCTAAGAAGGAAGCCCCTGCCCCTCCCAAAGACGAAGCCAAAGCAAAGGCTTTGAAGGCAAAGAAAGCAGTGTTGAAAGGCGTCCACAGCCACAAAAAAAAGAAGATCCGCAAAAAAAAAGAAAAAAAGAAAAAGAAGAGAATTTGTTGCCAGCAGACTCCTTCTCAAAGAATTGCTACAGGAAGTTCTGCAGACAAAAAAAGAAATGATACCAGAAGGACACGTGAAACATCAAGAATGAAAGAAAAAGAAAGATGATAAATATCTGGGTAAATATCGCTAGACTATGTTTTTCCTCTAGAGTTCTTTACAGTGTTTGACAGTTGAAAGAAGAAATTATAACACTGTCTCACAGGGTAGTCCATGTACGAAGATGTGACATGTAAGAGAAGAAAGAACTGATTATCAATTCTAAAGTGGCTGTGAACATTAAGTATGTAATGCAACCAGTACAAGACTGCAAAATGAGACAGTCAAGATCACAACAAATTAAAATGGAATACTAAAAAATGTTCAAATATTTGCAAAATATAGATTTTACTGTATAATTTTCAACATAAACTTCACAGCCCTGACTGGTTTGGCTCAGTGGATGGAGCATCAGCCCGAGGACTGAAAGGTCACAGGTTCCATTCCATGTGCCTTGGTTGTGGGCACATCCCCAGTGGGGGGTGTGCAGGAGACAGCTGATCAATGTTTCTCTCTCATCGATGTTCCTAACTCTCTATCCCTCTCCCTTCCTCTCTGTAAAAAAATCAATTAAAAAAAAACTTCGAAAAAATATACTCCAACAAGCTAGACAACCTGGAGGAAATGGACACATTCCTAGAAAAATACAACCTTCCAAAACTCAATCAGGAAGAATCTAAAAATCTCAATAGGCCAATAACTGTGGAATAATA